AACAGGCCCCAAAGAGTGTGAGTCCAATACCCGGTTAAGGCAGTGGAGAACTTTCAGAGGGGAATTAGCAGGAGATAACTGATAACTGACATCCATTAAACATAGCACGTGGAACTAGAACAGTCTACCCCAGTGAGCGAAATAAAGTGTTCAATTCGACATTCCAACCACCTGAAGAAGGCCGGAGCGTACAACGGCCGAAACGTTGTAATAAAAAAGGCAACAAAGATGCGTGCAATAGTCAGAATAATGTAAATAATGTGTGTGTCTATATATATATATATATCTATATATATATATATATATTATTATTATTATTATTATTAACTTTCTATAGTTGTTTCTGTCTTATTTTCCTTTTTTTATTTCTCCTTCTTTCTGTACTTTTTCTTCTGATACTTCTCTTTCATCGTAGTAGTAGTAGTCGGCGTTGTCTTTGTGAATGCCGAAACCATTCAGCTTTTTGCAGCTCCCTACGACTTTCGCCTGTGAAAGCTAAATCCCTTCTCCCAGCAACTGTCATCGACTCTCACCTGTAAAAGCCAAATTTTCAGACTTCTTAAATAGCCACAAGTCGGCCTCGAACTCGTTCAGAAACTTAATACTCTAGGTTAGTATTTTACTTTACCAACTGGTTAAAGAAATTACAAAATCTATCTCTTTAAACCATGCCTGTTTGCAAACTTTAGGCAGATTTTGAGGTCATCTGACACAACACATTTTTCAGCACATGAGCTTTTCAAAGGCATTGCTGCCATCTGCCCACATCCAATAATTTCAGCTATCTCCAAGATGTCGTGCGAACTAGAATGATTCATGAAAATAGTCTATCGATACTTCATGGTACATTTCTCAAATATCACTGAATTTGCACCTGCTCGCCCTAACGTATCACCAAAAGTATCGCAATGTCTATCAGGATTCATTCAAGGCTGTTCTTGTGTACAAATGTGATATCAGGGCGATTGCTCTCCAAGCGCTTGTCAATCAAGATAGTCATATCCGACATAAGCTTCACTTGGTCATTACTGGATATTATTATTATTATTATTATTATTATTATTATTATTAATAATAATAATGTCTGCTTAAAAATATTTCTGGATAATTTAGGATAAATCATGACATTGTCTTTTTTGCAGTATATTTTTTTACATGCGTGTATTTTAATAACATCTTTGTTAGTCGCCTCATTTTGAATCTTTCGCCATTTTCCGGCTTGTATTCAATTTGGTTATTGGATTTTTTTCATGGTTTTATAAGGAAAATAACGACCAGGGTTTTCAGGGAAATGGTTATGGGTCACGAAAGAAAGAAAGAAAGAAGAAAAGAAAGAAGTAGAAAGAATGAAATGACCAAAGGAAAAAGAAACCGGTTAAATAAATAATGTCAATAAAAAAATAAATATTAAAATATTAGAAAAGAAAGAAAGAAAGAAATAAGAAAGAAGAAAATCTGATTATAAAAGAAAGAAAGAAAGAAAGAAAGAAAGAAAGAAAGAAAGTCAGATTATAAGAGGTGGAAAGAAGGAAAAAGAAAAAGAAAAAGTCACATTACAAGAGGTGTAAAGAAAGAAAGAAAAAGGAAAGAGTCAGATTATAAGAGGGGAAAATGGAAAAAAGTCAGATTATCAAAGAAAGAAAGAAAGAAAGAAAGTCAGATTATAAAAGAAAGAAAGAAAGAAAGAAAGTCAGATTATAAGAGGTGGAAAGAAAGAAAGAAAGAAAGTCAGATTATAAGAGATGGAAAGAAAGAAAGAAAGAAAGATTATAAGAGGTGAAAAGAAAGAAAGAAAGAAAGAATGTCAGATTATAAAAGAAAGAAAGAAAGAAAGTCAGATTATAAAAGAAAGAAAGAAAGAAAGATTATAAGAGGTGAAAAGAAAGAAAGAAAGATTATAAGAGGTGAAAAGAAAGAAAGAAAGATTATAAGAGGTGAAAAGAAAGAAAGAAAGAATGTCAGATTATAAAAGAAAGAAAGAAAGAAAGAAGGTCAGATTATAAAAGAAAGAAAGAAAGAAAGAAAGATTATGAGAGGTGAAAAGAAAGAAAGAAAGAATGTCAGATTATAAAAGAAAGAAAGAAAGATTATGAGAGGTGAAAAGAAAGAAAGAAAGAATGTCAGATTATAAAAGAAAGAAAGAAAGAAACTCAGGTTACACGATGTGGAAAGAAGGAAAGTAAAAGGAAACAAAGAAAGAAAGTCAGATTATGAGAGGTGGAAAGAAAGAAAAAAGAAAAAAAGTCGGATTATCAAAGAAAGAAAGAAAGAAAGAAAAAAAGGAAAGCGTGAAAGATGATAAAGGAAAAAAAGACGCACGTAGAAAAAAAAACTACAAAAGCCTGACGCTAATCATTTCCTATTTAACGCGACGCCGTGAAAATGGTGTCTTTAAAATGGATAGCGTGATAATGTATCATCGACACGGGACCATTCCGTAATATAAACCGGCCTTGATGAAGTGGGGTGGGGAGACAAAACAAACGGTGGATTAATAATCCGTCCCCGGGGTGCAATAGTTTCAGTTCTATTCAATTTCGATCAAAGAGAAAAAAGGTGAAACGACCCGAAGTTTGAAATTGAATTGGAATCGAAAACATTTGGGTTGGTGGTCGAGAAAAAAGCAAGCAACAAAATCCGCTTTTTTAGGGGCTTCAAAAATGAGATCCAATTCGTTTTCATAACAAATCAAGCTTCTTTTTTTCTTTCTTTTAATTCGGTGTTTCCAAGTTCAAACATAGCAAACGAAATTTCTTTCGAAAATAGTTTATTACGTTGTTGATTTTTTTTTTCAATAAACCAATCTTCGAGAGCTGGCATATTCCACAAGCCTAAACGAAAGTCACCTGGCCTTGTCAGTGCCCCCCCTCCTCAAAATAACAATTGAAGATTTTTTTTCTTTTCACTGCGTTCATCAGGCACACAATGATTATAAACTTAGATGATCATTTCCTTGTAACAGTTTCAGGAAGTAACTGACTAGTCTAAAAGCAGACTTTATCAGTCATCTTACAAGAAAAATACTGAGTGAGTTGAGTCAAAGGTTGGTAACTTTGTGGAATCACTCGCATCATACCAACAAGAATAGCCTCGTTTTCACATCGGATAATAATAAAAAAAAAACATACACAGAAATAACACTAAAATCATGTTGAATTATGAATTAAAATCATACAATTTTATTTACTTTTATGTACTGACGGGCGTGTATTTTAGTTACAAGTGTTTTAAGGTTACATGTAATAAAAGGGAGAAGTCACTTCGAATTTGCAGAGGAGAAGAACTGGACGTGTTGACCTTCCAACGATCAGTAACAAGACAGTTCAGCTTCTTTTGGCGTGATGTCCGTTTTCCGACAGGAAATGTTTCTGTTGCATTCTGGGGTAAATTTTCTTTTTCTTTTTGGTTTCAGTTAATTTATTTTAAACAAAGTTTTAATGTTAAATATTTTATTTAATTTTTTTATGATATTCATTATAATTATTCTTTTATATTTTCATTTTTTTATTTATTGATAATAATAATAATAATAATAATAATAATAATAATAATAATGTCCTACCACGTCTCATCCTCACAAAGCAAATCCAGAATTTTCGCCAGTCATGATAAACCGTTGTTGTACTTCTTGCCTGGAACATCTAATGGGAGAAGTTCACTCCAGATTTCGAGTAGAACCTGGATATACGATCCACCGCTGGAATAAAAATCATCCATTCATAATACTGCTACAGAAATTATTTGTTGCTGCCAAATGTCCATTCGGCCAAATGTCGCTCGGCCAAATATCTGTTCGGCCAAATGTCTCTCGTCCAAATGTCCGTTCGGCCAAATGTCTCTCAGTCAAATGTCCGTTCGGCCAAATGTCTCTCGGCCAAATATCTGTTCAGTCAAATGTCCGTTCGGTCAAATTTCCGTTCCGCCAAATGTCTGTTCGGAAAAAATGTCTCTCGGCCAAATGTCCGTTCGACCAAATGTCTCTCGGACAAATGTCCGTTGGTCAAATGTCCGTTCGACCAAATGTCCGTTCGGAAAAAATGTCTCTCAGCCAAATGGCCGTCGGCCAAATGTCTGTTCTGCCAAATGTCTCTCGGCCAAATTTCCGTCGGTCAAATATATGAGTAGCCTAGTCGATAGGCTCACCTATCGTCCGGTTCACATCCCCTTCGGTCTTTTGGGGAAGAGTTGAGGTTTATCTTTTCTTTACTGTTTAGAATTGGGTTTCTCTTTCACATGCAGGATACTCTTGCGTCTCAGTGGCATAATCGCCTTGTTTAGCGGGGCGGGGGGGTGTATTGATTAAAAGCAATGTTTCATTATAACGTAATCCCTCCAGATATTTTTCACTTTTCTTACGTAGATATTGAAGGTGGTAAAAATCCGCCAAATATTGACTCGAATATAAATTTCCGACCCAATTTTATCACTGACTTTTTTGGAATTTGTCACAATATTCTCGGCTTATACATAGTAAATCCTGAATGTTCAATTTCCGGTATGAATTAGCGATAACGGAACTTCTGTACAAATATAAATCGATTGAAAGATTTCATAAATGAAAATGGGGAAAACAAGAATGAATGAAAAGGAAGCAATGAGAAAAGATGAAGAAATGAATGAAACGGGAAAAAGAGATTGAATAAAATGAAGCAATGGGAAAAGAAAAATGAATAAATGAAAATGAAGTAATTAGAAAAGAAGAATGAATGAAAAAGAAAGAAATGAGAAAAAGAAGAATTAACGAATAAAACGGGTGTAATGAAAAAAAAGAAGAATGAATGAATGAAAAGGAAGCAATGAGCAAAGAAGAAAGAAGAAAAAGGAAGTAACGAGGAAAAAGAATGAATGAAAAGAAACAGAGTCAAGAAGAAAAAGAAGAATGAAAGTTTAAAATGAGAAAGAGAAGAATGAATGAATGAATGAATGTCAAAGAAGCAAGGAGCAAAGAAGAATGAATGAAAAAAGTAATGAGAAAATTGAATGAATGAAAAGAAAAAGAGTCAAGAAAAAAAAGAAGGATGAAAAGAATGAAAATGAAATAATGAGAAAAAGAAGAAATACTGAATGAAAAGGAAACAATGAGCAAAGAAGAAAGAATGAAAAATGTAACGAGAAAAAAAGAATGAATGAATGAATGAATGAAAAGAAATAGAGGCAAAAAGAAAAAAATGAATTGAATGAATAAATGAAAAGGAAGCAATGATCAAAGAAGAAGAATAAATGAAACGGGAAAAAGAGATTGAATAAAATGAAGCAAGGGAAAAGGAAAATGAATAAAGGAAACTGAAGTAATCAGAAAAGAAGAATGAATGAAAAAGAAAGAAATGAGAAAAAGAAGAATTAACGAATAAAACGGGTGTAATGAGAAAAAAGAAGAATGAATGAATGAAAAGGAAGTAATAAGCAAAGAAAAAAATGAATGAATGAAAAGAAACTGAGGCAGTGAGAAAAAGATGAATGAAAAGAATGAAGATGAAATAATGAGAAAAAGAAGAATGAATGAATGAAAAGAAAGCACTGAGCAAAGAAGAAAAAATGAAAAGGAAGTAACGAGGAAAAAGAATGAATGAAAAGAAACAGAGTCAAGAAGAAAAAGAAGAATGAAACAAAAATGAGAAAGCGAAGAATGAATGAATGAAAAGGAAGCAATGAGCAAAGAAGAATGAATGAAGAGAGCAATGAGAAAAATGAATGAAAAGAAAATGAGGCAATCAGAAAAATAAGAATGAAAGGAATGAAAATGAAGTAATGAGCAACGAAAAAGAATGAATGAATGAATGAATGAAAGGAAACTAAGGCAAGGAGAAAAAGAAGAATGAAAAAAATGAAAAAGAAATAACGAGAAAAAGAAGAAAGAATGAATGAAAAGGAAGTGATGAGTAACGAAAAAAGAATGAATGAATGAAAAGAAAATAAGGCAAGGAGAAAATGAAGAATGAAAATGAAATAATGTGCAAACGACCACTGAATGAATGAAAAGGAAGCAATTGGGACAAAGGATAAAACAAAATCAACGAAAATCACAAAAAGAAAAATGAACTAAAAAAAATGAAAGAAGAAATATGAGCAAAAGAAAAAGAAATAAAAAAGACAATTAAAAACATGAAAGAAACATGAAAGAAAGAAAAAGTAAAAGAATGGAAGAATGAACAATAATTTAAAAATGCAAACTGAAAAAAAGGAAAAAAAAAGAATTTAACAAAAAGGAAACGAATAAAATAAGACAGAAATAGCAAAAAATATGAACAAAAAAGAAAATGAAGAAAAAAGAGAATGAAGAAAAACGAACGAAAAATGTGAAAGAAAAATATAGACAAAAGAGAGAATGATGAAATTTAATAAAAAATAAGAATATTGAATCAGTAAGAGTAAGAGAAAATTAGCGAAAAATTATAAGAAGAAGAATGAAAAAAAAAAATAAAAAGCAACAAATTGACTCAAATAGGAAGTGAACAATGGACAAAAATAGAAATAAAAAATGAAGAGAAAGGAGAAAAACAAAAAGATGAGAAAACAAAAATGAAAAAAAAAGAATGAACAAAAACGAAGACCATAATTTGAAAGAAAAAAATAAACAAATGTGAGAAAGAATAAATTAACAAAAATAAGTGAAAGAAAGAAAATGAACAAAAAAGAGAAAGAAGAAATGAACGAAAAATAAGTAAAAAAAATGAACGAAATTGGAAAGAAGAGAAATGTTTTAAAAAAAGAGAAAAAAACGGACAAAAAAGCGAGAAAAAACTGCGCAAAACAAAACAGATTAAAAAAAAAACCAGAAAGAAGAAAAAGTGAACAAAAAACGAAACAGAAAACTAGTTGTAGAGATAAACACACAAGAAATTGTTTTTTGGGTGCAATTCTCAGCTTTCATGTTTAATACAAATTGATATTAAATATGGCGTCGATGATTGCAAGTACAACCATTTGGTAACATTTCCTGTAAATTTATTTGATCTTCTTTGGTGCTTTGCCATTTTCTCAAAGTAAATGAGATTTAGCATACTACTTTTTTATTCTTTCTTTTTGGTGTACTTTTAGTCAAGTATTATTCACTTATTTAATTTATTGGATTATTTTTTCTTTTTATATTTTCTGTTTTTTTTTTATTTTTATTTTTTTACCTTTTTTCTGCGTTGACATTTTTTGTTCGGCCTTTTGTCTTCTTCGATAGCCACCATTGTTTTTATGTTCTCTTACTTCATTTTATATTTTCTATATTTTATATTATTCATTGCTTTCAAATTTCTAGCGCGTTTTTATTTTGTTTCAGTTTTTCTCGATACGTTTTCGATTTTCTCTGCTTTCTTTTTCATTTTCTTCCTATATTATACTTCCTGTATTTTCTTCCACTATTTTCTTCCTGTATTTTTTGCTGTAATATCCTTCCTGTATTTTCTTCCTGTATTATCCTTCCCGTATATTCTTCCTGGAATATCCTTCCTGTATTTTCTTCCTGTATTATCCTTCCCGTATATTCTTCCTGGAATATCCTTCCTGTATTTTCTTCCTGTATTATCCTTCCCGTATATTCTTCCTGGAATATCCTTCCTGTGTATTCTTCCTGTATTATCCTTCCCGTATATTCTTCCTGGAATATCCTCCCTGTATTTTCTTCCTGTATTATCCTTCCTGTGTTTTCTTCCTAAATTATCCTTCCTGTATTTTTCCTGTCTTATCCTTCCTGTACTTTCTTCCTGTATTATCCTTCCTGTATTTTCTTCATGTATTTTCTTCCTGTATTTTCTTCATGTATTATTGTTGTGTCGGAAACCTACCACCCCTCTTGAAGATGAACTTGTCTGCGAACAAAGACGTTAAATAGTGGCATGTCAGAAGACAGTGACTGAGCAGTTCTTAGCTGAGCTAGTTATTGACTTACGTGTTATTTGACGTTTGTCTCTACTAACCCCAAATCAACATCATAACAATTATCCTTCCCGTATATTCTTCCTGTATTATCCTTCCGGTATATTCTTCCTGTAATATCCTTCCTGTATTTTCTTCCTGTATTATCCCTCCTGTACATTCTTCCTGTATTATCCTTCCTGTATTTTCTTTCTGTTCATTCTTTGTGTATATTCTTCCTGTGTTATCCTTCTTGTATATTGTTCCTGTATTATCCTTCCTGTACTTTCTTCCTATATTATCCTTCCTGTACTTTCTTCCTGTATTATCCTTTCAGTATTATTCTTCCTGTATTATCTTCCTTCTTCTCTCTATTTCTTTTTTATGTTATCCTTTTTCTTCTTTTAAGATTAATTTATTCTTTTCTTCTCCTTTTTTTTTGGGGGGGGGTTCTCCCCTTTTTTATTCCGCTCCCCTGTTTCGTTTTCTTCTTTATTTAAACTTTCTTTTTTCTTTTTATTCTATTTTCGGGTTGTGTTGTTTCGTGGGGGGTGGTGAGTGCCAGTCTACTTTTCACTTAGTTTTCTTTACCCCTTTTGTCTCGTTTTTATTCCTTTTTTATTCCTATTTTATTCCTTTTATATTCCTCTCTCATTCAACGTCTTTCCATTTCCTCTACGTTTTGAACTTTTATATATCAAGAACAATTTTGGGAGAAATATGTAAGACAAAGTAGAAAAAGTTTTGTGTGAAGCGTTTCGTCATTTAGGACTTCACCGGACTAAGATTGTTTGCGTCAATACGACTACACAAGCGCACGAACGAGCGACGTTGGATAATTTATATATATATATATATATATATAGAGAGAGAGAGAGAGGGAGAGTCATCTTGCTTTCCAGAGAGTCTTGGTAATCAATTTTTAACATACAACGTGTGTTAGCACGTGCGATACCCTGTCTTCATCAGCCGCCGACCAGGGGTAATCTCACGGTTTCGGTGGCTATGGCGGGACCGCCACCCCTGGCGCAACCAGCAGCGTTTGCCACCAGGCAGGGTATGAAAAAAAAAAAAAACTAATTGATCGTTCCTCTTTGCAAATTCTTAATGAAATAAATAAAACGATTGTTCCTCTTTGCAACTTCTGTCTGTAATGAAAGTTCCTGAACGCGTTTGCCGTTATTGACGAGCTCGTAAAAATCGTTATAAACGACTACGCAAATATTTCACCTGCGCATGTTCGGTCGTGATGTTGCGCGCATAATATTTCAGTAATGTTTGTTCTGATCGTAACTTTCCTTTCTGTATATTATGTTTAGCTGGTTTCATTTAGATTCTTTTTTTTTCCTTTTGATTACTTTTGTTATTAAATATACCACAGTTTAATAATCGAAGATCTGTCATGAATGTCGAAACGTTGTAAGAACCTTAAAAGCACATTCAGAAACAAGAACTCTGTCCACATCGGGTTTGATAAGACAGATGACCGATGCCTTCGTCTGCCGAAATAGGCTATTCCCCATATGAGATAATTTGGGATTTTATTGTTGATTATATATATATATTTGTGTGTGTGTGTGTGTGTGTGTGTGTGTGTGTGTGTGTGTGTGTGTGTGTGTGTGTGTGAATATTAATATGAAGGAAAAAAGAAGAGAAATTTAAAAAAAAAAAGGCTTTATCAACTTCCGCGACCAAAGAATTCCTGAATCTTGCACTTCTATGAATATTCTATTCATACGGACCTATTCTATGAATGTTGTAAAGGAAAGCGAGAAGAAAGGACTAACTGTCAACTGTAAAAATACTAATGTACCGTTCTTGTAAATTCTAAAATTCACCGTAAAGAGATACTTTCACATAAAGAGAAAAATGTTGCAAAGGAAAGCGGGAAGAAAGGACTAACTATCAATTGTTAGAAGACAGAATGTATCGTTCTCAGAAAAATAAAATTGTAGTAAAGGAAAGCAGGAAGAAAGGACTAACTGTCAACTGTAAGATGACAGAACGCATCGTTCCCAGAAAGAAAAGAAATCCAGTAAAACAAAGAAAACAAAGAAGAAATGACTACCAACTTTAAGAAGACAGAATTCACCGTTCTCAGAAAGAGAAAATGTATTAAAAGAAAGCGAGAAGAAAAGACTAACGATAAGAAGACAGGATATACAGAAATCGAGAACAAAGGACTCAATATCAACAGCAAGGAGATAGAAAGCATTTTCCCATGAAGAGAAAAATGTTGTAAAGGAAAGCAGTAAGAAAGGACTAACTCTCAACTGTAAGATGACAGAACGCATCGTTCCCAGAAAGAAAAAAATAATAAAGCAAAGAAGAAGAAAGGGTTAACTAAGAACTCTTAGAAGACAGAATGTATTATCAGAAAGACAAAAAATATTGTAAAAGGAAAGCGTGAAGAATGGACTATCAACTGTAAGAAGAAGACAGAATGCACAGTTCTCAGAAAGTGAAAGATTCTGTAAACGAAAGCGAGAAGAAAGGAATAACTATGACTTCTAAGAAGGCAGAAGGTATCGTTGTCAGAAAAATAAAAATGTAATAAAGGAAAGCAAGAAGAAAGGACTAACCAACAATTGTAAGAATACAAAATGTACCGTTCTCGGAAAAATAAAAAAGTAGTAAAGAGAACAAAAAGAAATGACTAAACATGAAGGGCAAGGAGACAGTAAGCATCTTTCCTATAGAGAGAAAAATGTAGTAAAAGAAAGCAATAAGAAAGGACTAACTGTCAGTTTTTGGAATCAGGCCGACTCCGTGAGCAAATTAAAAACATTTCGTATCACTAAATAATTATTATCTAAAAAAAAATCTTACGATCTAAGAATATTTTTTAGATTTAAATAACTTACAACATATCAATCAATCAATGAAATGTTGATTAGCTACCCAGGCATATCTTTTAGATTTATTTTCATCCTCTAGAATATAAATGTATAGAAACTAGAGTGGCCAAAAATTGAGGGATCAGTTTACATATTGGCTGTAATGTAGAATTGATCCCCCACTTTATATCTACATTATAATTTCTTGCTTGATGATAAGCCGTAGAAAACGAATCAATCAATGAAATGCTGATTAGCTAACCAGGCATATCTTTTAGATTTATTTACATTCTCTAGAATATAAATGTATAGAAACTAAAGTGGCCACAAATTGAGGGATCACTTTACATTTTGATTGTATTGCAGAATTGATCCCCCACTTTATATCCACATTGTAATTTCTAGTTTGATGATAAGCCGTAGAAAACGAATCAGTCAATGAAATGCTGATTAGCTACCCAGGCATATCTTTTAGATTTATTTACATTCTCTAGAATATAAATGTATAGAAACTAGAGTGGCCAAAAATTGAGGGATCACTTTACATGTTGGTTGTAATGTAGAATTGATCCCCCACTTTATATCCACATTATAATTTCTTGTTTGATGATAAGCCGTAGAAAACGAATCAATCAATTAAATGCTGATTAGCTACCCAGGCATATTAGATTTATTTACATTCTCTAGAATATAAATGTATAGAAACTACAGTGGCCAAACATTGAGGGATCACTTTACATGTTGGTTGTAATGTAGAATTGATCCCCCACTTTATATCCACATTATAATTTCTTGTTTGATGATAAGCCGTAGAAAACGAATCAATCAATGAAATGCTGATTAACTACCCAGTTAATTTATTTTCATCCTCTAGAATATAAATGTATAGAAACGTCTTTTCATGTTGACTTGAATATCGTCTAATTTTAATTATGTTTTAATAACTATGTCCAGAAGAAGGTCTACTAGACCGAAACGTCTGACGTCGACATTGAAACAACATTAAAACAGCATACTTGAATATTCGGATTTTTGTTTTTCCATATTCTCTAGAATATAAATGTATAGAAACTAGAGTGGCCACAATCTGAGTGATCAGTTTACATATTAATTGTAATGTAGAATTGATCCCCCACTTTATATCCACATTGTAATTTCTTGTTTGTCGATAAGCCGTAGAAAACGAATCTATCTCCCCTTTGAATACTAGTGGCACTCCCGCCTTGCTTAGGGGTGAAATGC